GAAAAGGCCTGTAAAGTGAATGACACCGAGTTCCAGTGCACCCTGACAGCATGCTAGAATGGCTATTGTGATTCTGCTGTTATCCTGCAGCCGCCCTGAATCCTGCTGTGCCTGTTGGGACTGACGGAAAGGCCTCTGTTGGCCTGATAAGCTCAAAAGAGACTTTGGCATAACGGCGACCATCGTAGCCAGTACATCAGCAGCAGCCGCCACCAGCTATCGTGGTAATAGTGATTGAGGTCGCAGATCTGACTGCCAGTGTTATGGAACAACAGGACTTTACTATGAACATGAGGGTTGGGCATGCTTACGCTGTAACTGTGGGTTGATTTGTTGGCATAGGACAGCAGATGCTGTGAGATTTGGTTTGGCCTCCTGTATTCCATCATATGCCTCTTTGTGTGTAACTCCCCTGTAGTGCAAAATGTTTCTCTAGGCCCGGGAATTGCTGTCTGCGTATTGCTACCGAACTAAGATGTTTCTATGGTCAGGGCCTCTTGTCTCCCATTATGCCTCTATGTATGTTTCACCTGTGTAGTGCTATGTTTTCTCAAGCCCAAGAATTGCTGCCTGCTTGTTGCTACCGAGGTAAATCACTCCTAGCCATGGAACAGGGAAACCAACCTCCCCAAGTATGGTTTGTGCAGCTGCAGCAGACAACGCGTTGGATGGCAGCCAGTGACGGGTAAGATGGACCGGGCACTGACCAACCTAAGACAGGGGCTCCGTCATGCTACGGAGATTCCCAATGACGGGTAAGGCTGGTAACCTAAGACAGGCACAGACAAGTCTGCTTTAAAACAAAGAAGGGGGGGGGGATCTGTTGTGGGCTGAGGAGTTGATTAGCATTTGTTAAGCTTGGCTCCTGCAGGAAATGGCTTGGAGGCTAGTGGCACCTTGTCTGTCAGACTCATTAGCATCCAATTGTTCTGCTAGAGGCTTGGGGGAAAGGTATATATGGCTGAATAAAGGGAGGCTGAGAGAGACCTCTTCCACCATTACTGGTCTCCTGTCGGTGTCTGATTCCCTGACCCTCGCGTGTCCATGCCCCGGCTAAGCCGGCCTGTACAAGTTCTGTGTTGTTTCCTTAATATATCTGATATAAAAGGAGATTTTAAGGGAGAAGCCCCACCCAGTCTCCCACCCCAAGTCCCAGATGTGGGACATGCTCCGAAGGTCTTGCTCAAGTGGTTCTGAAAGTTCAACAGTTCTGAATTGCTGCCATTCTCACGACTCCAAGCATGATGAGGTCTTTGGAGATTCCACTGATTGACATAGTCCATCATATAGTCTCTGTCTGCCCAGTATTTTCGTTGCCAACATATAGCTAAAGTGGTTGATTGACTTGTTCTGTCCTCTGTCATTTGATGGTTAGCGTTCTGAGTCTGAAAGCTCGATTGGGAGGATCCCCAAAGAAACTTTGTCTGAGGTGTTCCCAGACCAGATTCTTGTATGTACTAGCAAGAACAGGGCTCAGCACAGTCCATCGCCCTGATCAGCTGGTGGTTGCAGTTGCTGGGTTGGTTCTGTTTCCATCCCTGTCTTTCACTGGAACCAATGGATGTTTGCAGTCCAGCCTGGTTCTGCCCAGCACATACTCAGCCCTCACATAAACCAGTGGGAGCTGCAGCCCAGCAGGAGCAACCCACAATAACCCCAACCAGGCCAGCCCTCTACCCTGGTTTGCCAGTATGTGTGGCAGACTAGTCCAGTCTGTCCCACATCCCCTTCATACATGTCAATGGGTATTAAAACCTTGTTCCATCTAACCAGCTCAACTATCCAGCCTTCTCAGATGTTGTTGGGTGTCTGTCTAGCCACCCCAGCCCCTGTCCTAGTTTTTGTGCCCTCCCGTGGGGAGTGGTAACCCAAGAGGGAGGAGCCCACTATTTCCCTCCCAGGCCACTCCCACTCCCAGATTATGCACTCTCCATGTGGTTCTGTGGTTTAACTTGACAGAACTAGCCCCCAATGCCAGCTTCTGCCAGCTGATGCTGTGGCTAAGCCCCAACAACCCTCACCCACTCTAATTGTAGATTGCACCAGTAGGAAAAATCAGCCCAGCCTGGTTTTTCCCTGATCTGGTCCACATGGACACACAGGTGCTGTAGCCCTGCCTAGTCTGGTCTGGCCCCATCCCAGCTCACGCTCTCCAGTGGGAGTAGCTGTCCAGCAAGGGAACCACCCCTTATTCCCCTGCCGGCTCTGCCCCTTCCCTTCCTAGTTCTCACGTGTGCTGGTTGGGTGCTGTAGTCACATCTGGCACAGGCAACCTCACCTTGGCATTCCGTGTTGTGTACTGCTTTTGTCGCGCCCGAACCTGGCTCGACCCACACTCTGTTCTGGTGTTCGGATTTGCCAATGGGTGACGTCAACTGATTCAGCCTGGTCTGCCCCCGACCCATGCCAAATGTATGCCAGTGGGACACTTTCCATGACCTCTTGGCTGTTTCCTTCCATGCTTCTTGCTTCCACGCTTACCTGCAGGGTCTGTGTCCTGCCAGAGGAGTTGCCTGGGCTCCTCCATCAGAACCCCTCCAAGTGCCAGGTTTCACGCATACCAGTGGGTCCATGAGCCAGCCCTACTCAGTTCACCTCCTGTCATAGCAGGAACAGTGGCTTTTCCTAACTGGCCTTCAACCCAATCTGGTTCTTCTACCTCTTTAAATAAATACATAAATTAGTAAATAAAATTAAAGAATTTAAAGTGCATTTTGGATGTGGGCTTTGTGGTGCAGTGGATGAAGCTGCGCGTTAAGACAACTGTATCCCATATTGACTGCTAGTTTAAGTACCTTGTATGTTGCCTCTGATTCAGCTCCTTGCTTGTACACCATGCTAGTGCATGGTGACCCAAGTTAGTTGTGTTTTTGTCACCCACATGGGAGACCAGAGTTCCTGGCTTTAGCCTGGCCTAGCCTGGGCTATTGTGGGCAATTAGAGGAATGTGCCAGCAGATGGAAATTATTTCTTTCTCTCTCTGTTTCTCTCCCCGTCTTCCTCTCCCCGTCTTCCTCTCCCTCTCATCCCTCCCCATCACTCTGCCTTTCAAATAAATACATCTTTAATTTGAAAACGTGTATTTTTGTTAATTTTATAGTAACTCAATATGCTTTCTCTGATTAGGATGTGTCTGATATGTTTTCCTATGTCCTTATTTCCCTTTTTCCCTTTTTATTGCCATTATGTTTGTGTCTACTCTTGGACTCAGTGTATGATGTAAATTTTTTCTTCTGTCCAATCGACCATTCTTGCCTTTTAACTGTAGAATTTAGTTCACTTATTTTTACTTCTAGTATATACATATGTTAGTACCACCAGATTTTTTGACAAATTAATTTTTTAAAAGATTTACTATTTTAATTGGGAAGTCAGATTTACAGAGAGAAGGAGAGACATAGAGGAAGATCTTCCATCCTCTGGTTTACTCCCCAAGTGGTCACAATGGCCGATACTAAGCCAATCCGAAGCCAGGAGCCAGGAGCCTCTTCTGGGTCTCCAATTTGGGTACAGGGTCCCAAAGCTTTGGGTCATGCTCTATTGCATTCTCAGGTATAAGCAGGGAGCTGGCTGGGAAGTGGGGCAGTCGGGATTAGAACTGGCACCTATACGGGATCCCAGTGCATGCAAGGCAAGGACTTTAGCCACTAGGCCACCACGCAGGGCCTAGCAAATTAATTTTTAAAAACCTTATTTGCATGGGAAGGACAGAGCAAAAGAAAGCGAGGCAGAGAGAGAAAGAGAAAGAGACAACCATCCAACCACTGGTTTATTCCTCAAATGACTTCAATGGCTAGGCCTGGGCCAGGCTGAAGCCAGGAATCAGGAACTCCATCCAGGTCTCCCACATGGATAGAAGGCACCCAGGTACTGGAGCCATCTTCTACTGCTTTCCTGGGTGCATTATCAATGAACTGGATCAGAAGTAGAATCAAACTGATGCTCCCAGGGAAATCACATCACACGTGGCAGTGCTTGGCTGAACACAGTGATGCACTCAACACAGTGAGATATCCTTTTCCTGTTTCTTTTTATCATCTGCTCTACTGATATCTTTTAAATGCCATGAAGGTCTTTTTTTTTTAAGCTTCTTGGTCTGTTGTTACTTTATAAATTGAGTTATTATAATAGCATCTTTACCTCTTGTAAAACAGGTGGGGATTAAATAAAATGAAATTTAAAAAAAACACCTCACATAACCTTCTTCCCTAGTGCCTAACGCCTGGTAAACATTAAGAAATGGGAACTATCATTAGAATTTCTAGTATTCTTTCATCTCTATGGTTCCCTTGTCTCTTGCAGTTCTGCTTCTGTTGTTCTCTTTTCTGCTAGCACTGTCCCATGCATCCTCAATCCTTTTTCTTTCAATTCTCCTTTACTGCCACTCAGTTTCCTGTTTCTTCTCTCTCTTTCATCCCTCAGCAGCTATGTGCAAAAGCTGCAGTGATGAAGCCCACCAGGCAAGAGAATCCCTTTGCAAGTTGGGAGGGGTGGGGCTTGGTGGCCCGGCCATGCAGGAAGAGAGACTGTAGGGCTTGTCCACTGAGTCCCCTTCCAAAAAGTGGCAGCCCAACACACAGCCGTGGACTGGCCAGAGTGAAATCCCATCCGTGGGGATCCTCAGTTTCTGTGAATGGACATAAAGACCACAGGCTTCACCAGCAATGATACAGCCAAATTGCCTCAGGCCTTGCCCTAGGCCACTCTTAACTGGCCACTCTCTAGCAGTCCTGTGATAGAGCGGGTGACACTTCACTGGGAATTTGTATGTGCACAGGCAAGGCCTGGAAAGAGGAACAATTTGTACTCAAACATATTGCGGTCAAAGCAACATTTTGTCATCACTGTTGTAACAGAGCTGCCACTAAATTTAGCAAAGTGTTCCTTTTTTTTTTTCATGATGTTTGGAGAAAGCAACACATTTTATTTCCAAAGAGTTTTTGAAAACTTCCCAAACCAATGTGGATATCATTTCTAATTTGGTATTTAATTGATGTGGAAATTCCTCACTCTAGCTATAACACACCTCTTTTTTTCTGTGTCCTTTTTTATCATGACCTTCTTTAAAGATACATTGTGTTAAGGGAGGAACATTGGCACTTGGTGGAGTTTTGGGTACTTTTCTGTTCTCTGGTGGTTTCTGTATTTGGATGGAAATAAACAGAGGTGCTGAACTTCCATATTTGAAATGGATCGCCTTTGAACTTGAGAGTGTAATCTTTTGATGGTAATCAAGCATATGCTTTTATTCTTCACAATAGAGTTTAAATAGGTACTGCTGATATGTTTTGAAATTTCTTTTTTCCCCTAAAGTATAATTTCCACTTAGGACTTATACAAATTGCAATAAATTCTTGACTGTTAGCCTGTACAGTAGCAAAATACATTTGCATGGTTCACAAATTCTTTAAAACAAACTTTATATATGTGATCTCTCCTTTCTGTCTTCACCAATAGGAATGCTGCCAGTATACAAGGAAGAGCAGTGTGGTGGCCTGCAACCCAGAAGTGATGTGAAAGAATAGCAGATGAGAGAGATCTGTTCCTGTGGGTTCACAGGCATAGGCCCAAGCACAAGCACAGTGAATGAAGCCCAGGCACAAGGGAGCAGAGAGGAAGACTGTGGTAAGAAGGAGGGGTGCGGTGGGGTTGCGGGGACAGTCAATGAAGGTAGGGAAGACAGAAGATTGGTGTAGTTTTTGTCCCTACAGCCACACAGGCTCCTTCAATTTCAGTGTGCCAGTTTATATGGTTTCTGTTTCTTATATCACTCCATGGTTCAAGATAGCTGTTCTAGCTCCAGCCTTCACTTTCTTTTTTTAAAAAAAAATCTTTTAAAATTTAAATTATTTTATTTATATCAGGTGAATACACTTCATATGTTTCATATATACAGACTTATGAGTGTAGAGATACTCCCTCCCCCCTTCTGCTCCTTCTCTCATCCTCCTTCCTCCTTTCGTTCTTTTTTTTTTTTGTAGTTTGTATAATGCCATCCTTTCAGTTTATTTTATAATCACAGTTCTTTTTCTGTGTCTCCCCTTGTCTCTGAAAATCTGCCTTTCCAATAAAAGTAAATAAATCTTAACAACAACAAAAATAGACACAATGGCCAGAGGTAGGCCAAACCAAAGCCAGGAGCTTTTTCTGGGTCCCCTACTTGGATGTAGGGGCCCAATCACTTGGCCCAAATTCCACTACTTTCTCAGGTACAATAACAGGGTGACGAATCAGAAGTGGAATGGCTGGGACTTGAACCAGTGCCCATATGGTATGCTAGTGTCAAAAGCTGTGGCTTAACTCACTGTGCTACAGTGTCAGCTGCGTGGAATTTTCCATTTTCAGAACATAGTTGATGCAGATGTCCAAGTGGAACTTTAGCCTCTAAACAAATGTCTATCTCAGATGTTCACTTTTCTGTTTGGTTGGAACATCATCAATAGAAGAGTCAAATGATGGCAAGTTTACATTGCAGTCAGGTTGTATTGGTGCCCTGCCCATTGGTTAAGGTATTGGCTATGGCCACTTTTGTCCTGTCACAGTAGTAGTGAGTATTTGTGACAGAGATGGAATGGATGGCAAAGGTGCAAATACAGGTAGCTCGCGGTCTGCAGGTTTCATAGCCACAGACTCAAACAAGCATAGACTGAAAATATTTGGTGGAAAAAAAACTATCTGTACTGAGCACCTATGGGCTGTCTTCTTATCATTACTCTAAGCAACATGGTATAACAAGTATTTACACAGCATTAACATTGTGTCATGTAATCTGGTGATGGCAAAAATATATGATAGGATTGCATGGATTGTAAGAAAGGGCTATATTATTTTGAAGATGTATTTATTTGGAAAGTAGAGAAACGGAAAGAGAGGGACAGCTGCAGAAGTTCAGATCTTGCATGTTCTAGTTCACTCTTGAATGACCACAGCAGTAAATGCTGCCCCAGGCTGAAGGCAGGACTCTGGAGCTCCATCTGGGTCTTCTAATGGGTACAGTAATCCAAGCACTGCTTTCACAGGTGCATTAGCAGGCAGATGTATTGGAAATGGAACAGTCAGGGACTCTAGTGCTCTGATATGGGATGCCAGCATCACAGGCAGCAGCTTAACTTTCTGTGCCACATCACCAGCCTGGCTATGCAGCTATGGTGTTTTATATAAGGGTGTTTCTTTTTTTCTCCTAAGATTTATTTATTTTATTTTACTTGAAAGAGTTACAGAGCAACAGAGGGAGAGAAAGAGCTCTTTCATCTGCTGGTTCACTCCCCTTATGGCCACAATAGCAGGAGCTGAGCCAATTCAAAGGTGTGAGCCAGTAACTTCTTCCAAGTCTTCTCTATGGGTGCAGGGACCCATGAACTTAAGTTATCCTCCACTGCTCCCAGGTCAAAAACAGGGAGCTGGATAGGAAGTGGAGCAGCCGGGATACTAACTGGCACCTATATGGTATGCTGGTGTTACAGGCAGAGGATGAGCATGCTATGCCACCACACTGGTTGTTTTGGGGTGGGGCAGTTCTATATTTGACCCTTTATGAGGAGAATCAAAGGAATTGGAGAGTTGGAGACTGGGTATCTGGATGGGAAGTGGCCTCATTACCAAGATGAAGGACACAGGGGGAAGAGCAGCAGGTTGAAGGGGAGGAGGAGTAAGTCTAGCAGGCCTACAGTGCTTATGACATGTCTGTGGGTATCTAAGGAGAAAACCCCAGAAAACAGCTGAAGCCATATAAGGTTCCGGGACTTGCGTGAGTGGCCCTGGTAGGAGAGGGAAGGTAAATATCATTCCCATTTTCAGAAGTGAATTTCCAAATTTTCAAGTCTCCGCCCATTAATTTGGTAGCAAATGTAAATTTCCAATTTTCTTTTTTTATTTTTAAAGATTTATTTATTTTATTGGAAAGGCAGATGTACAGAGAGGAGGAGAGACAGAGAGGAAGATCTTCCGTCCAAAGATTCACTCCCCAAGTGGCCACAACTGGTCCGAAGCCAGGAGCCAGGAACTTCTTTCCAGGTCTCCCACGTGGATGCAGGGTCCCAAGGCTTTGGACCATCCTCGACTGCTTTCCCAGGCCAGAAGCAGGGAGCTGGATGGGAAGTGGAGCTGCCGGGATTAGAACCAGCATCCATATGGGATCCTGGCGCGTTCAAAGTGAGGGCCTTAAACACTACGCTATTGTGCCAGGCCCTCCAATTTTATTTTCAATTTCAGTGTTTGCTTTAGAAATAAAGATTTGGGCCCGGTAGGATGGCTCAGTGGCTTAAATCTTTGCCTTGTGTGCACCGGTATCCCATATGGGTGCCAATTCATGTTCTAGCTGCTCCACTTCCCATCCAGCTTTCTGTTTGTGGCCTGGGAAAGTAGTTGAGGACAGCCCAAAGCCTTGGGACCTTGCACCCGCATGGGAGATCTGGAAGAAGCTCCTGGCTTCAGATTGGCTCAGCCCTGGCCGTTGCAGCCACTTATGGAGTGAATCGGGATGAAAGATCTTTCTCTATGTCTCTCCTCCTCTCTATCTGACTTTCTAATAAAAATAAATAAATCCTTAAAATTAAGAAAAAAAGGAATTCTGGCTGCCATGCTGTGGAGCCCAAGTAAGTCTGGGCTGCAGGTGTGGGTGCTTACTCTCCCAGCTGCTAAGCTGGGGGAACTTGGACAGGGCTGGGCTTGAGGCTTAGGATCCTAGCTCTGTCCACTGCTGCCATGCGGTGGGCGGATCTTGAGCTAGTCTGGGCTTGTGGCTTGAGAATTTTCTCCATCCATGGTCACCATGCTGTGGGCAGATCCCAAGTGGGTCTGGGCATACTCAGGATCTTGGCTCCACTCACCACCACAATGCTTGGGCAGATCCCAAGTAAGTCTGGGCTGGAGGCATGGGTGATTGCTCTCCCAGGTGTGTGGCGGCAGCTGGAGGAACTCGGGTGAGGCACCTAGGTGCCAATGGTGCTGAACAAAGCGCTCAAGCTGCCCTGCAGTGTGCTCTGGGAACTTGGGGATGTGGGGTTACATGGAGTCTGGGGATGGCACAGCTAGGGACAAGCAGGGATCTGAGGGTTCATTCCCTGGTGAGGAATAACTTCTTTGGGACTTCCATGGACCTGGCCACTCTACTTGAAGGGCAGCAATATGGAACCCACCAGTGAGTGTCAGAAAAGGGAATGGGTACTGTGAGGCTGCACCATGAAGCCGACAAATACTAGAGTGAATCAGGTCTTGGGGTAGAATCTGCGGGGAAATATGTGGGCTCACCCATGTGGAACTGCAGTCTCTATTGGCACACGCAAAATCTGTGGCTGGGAAATAGACCTGGTTGGAGAGCTAAGGGGATGTCCAAGCTAGGCTGGAATTCTTACTAGTGAGCACAAGAACCAGAATTGGGGCATTGGACTGGGCTGGACATGGCTGCAAACTCCCTCAGCACAGATGTGGACTGGGTCTGGGAAGGGCCAGGCTAGGCTAGACTCCAGCCCCCACTGGTAGTCGTGGTTGTCAGGGTGGGTGTAGAACAGACTGGGCTAGATCTTGGCTCCTGCTGAGAGCTGTGTCTGGGCATGGACCAGGCATGGCTGGGCTGCAACACTCAAGAGTAAGAACTGGAAAGTGTATGTTCTGGTTGTGCAAGGATAGCGTTCCTGCCAGGACAACAGGTGGACAAAATCAACTTGGGGCAAGGACCCACTGTGTGCACAAGGTCTGCCACCTGGAGGAGAGTGGATAGAGAAGTTAGTCAACTCTTGTCAGATTGCAGTCCCTACAGGTAAGTGCAAAAACCAAGGCAAGGAGTAGCCCAAACCAGGCCAGGTTATGGTACCCACTGGTTACCATTCACCTTACAGTACCTGCTGGTATACATGTGGGTCAGGTCTGGTGGTGGACCAGGCTGGGTCAGTTCATAACATCCACTGGCAGATATGAGAGCCAGGATGAGGTGCAGGAGGGACCAGGTCGGGCTGCATTATCAGCCAGTTCACACTGGGGCCAGGACAGAAGGCTGAAGCACCTGCTGGTAGATGCCAAGGTGAGATGAGCTATGCCAATCTGGGGATGGTGGGTGCCAGGTCTGTGAGTCTCAGGCATAGAAGGGCCCTTTATCCCACCTGCGATGTGGGTCTGGCCCTAGGGGTGGGGGTTCAACGGGGACTGTGTCATATGGCCCAAGATTTTCAGCCCACCCATGAGGTGGGTGCAGGATTCATGAGCCCCAGAGGTTGGGAATCCAAAGGCGCCTGGGTCTCCTGGTCCAGGTCACTGGGCCTGCCTGCATTGTGGGTGACAGGTCCATGATCCCCAGGGGTCAGGGGGCCCGGCAGGTTCTGGGTCACATGGCTCAGTTCCTTGGGCTTGTTCACGTAGTAAATACTGGATCCATGAACTCCAATGGTGGGGAGTCCAGAGGGACCTGGGTGTCCTGGCCCAGGTCCATGAGCCTACCTATGGGAATTGGTCCTCCTCAGTGTAAAGAATGGAGTGCCGGATGGCAGACCATGGTGCACATAGAGGATATGGTAGCTCATTGGGACCTGCAGAAGTCATGTGGTACATAGCAGAGAATGGAGAACAGACCATATGGACAACTACCCCAGCCAAATGATGACAGCATATATCTTTGCTGCCCATGGACATCG